ACTTTTTAAAAATGATTAATAAATGTTTATGAATTATTTCGTTAAAGTGGTATAAGTTCTTTTTTTTAAAGAAATTCAAAATGCCGAATCTGAGCTTGTATTGTCTAAATACCCCACGCAACGCCACTTACAATTTCTTTCGATGACATTGGACTTACACCGCTTTCAAAATAAACGGCTCGAATAAAAATCACATTTTTTTATTACTTTAAGTCAATTATAGGACATTCGGTTAATTTTGAAAATGGTCTAAGTCAATTCAAGCTTTAAAAACAACATTTTCCTATGAAATTCACACAAAATTTCATATCTATAATAAATTTCCATTAATCAAGTCTAATAAAATTATAAATTAAAATGTCGCATAATGTAAAAATATTTTTTAATTTATTCAAATGCGATTCATTGAATATCTCGAAACAAGAAATATATGACTTAGACCACTTTCATAATTATGGGCACGTATAAGACACTCGACATATTTGCAAAAATCGCCTCGTCCTGCTACCTGACTCTGCCGAAAAAGTCGTCGTCCGCTAAGGGTTAATCTATTACTCACTGGCTTTCACTTTTGATGACTCCAATCTCAGTGTCGATTGGCTCCCTCGAGGGTATCTGAGCGTCCCAAGGTTTTGCGGATGGTTTCTTCGATGGGCTGTATATTCTGTCGTCGCTGGGCTCAGGTGTGTACTTATGACCAGGCGGATAAACCATCTTGGACGGATGCTCGAAAGCAGTTTCCAGTTTGCGTCTGCGGTACCAAGTGCGGCAGGATGCGTTGTTGTACCAATCGCTGAAATAATTACACCTCGTTTGAGCAGCGACCCGTTGGATGCGAATGTTTATTTATGCTGTGAAGTTTACCGATACAGCTTGTAGTAGTTCTTCAAGTTCTCGGATGGTATCTTGTACAAATCGGTAGGAGGCCTGTCAGCGTAACCAGTGATCCAAGAATGAGCAAGGGCAGCCTTGACGTCCATCCTCCTTTCGCAATTATACATTAGCAACAGACGAATGAAATCTCTCGCATCTTCGGAAATATACTGCCAGCGGTCGTCGAACTCCCATTTCCCGTCTCTGATCTTCAGCAGAGTCTCCTTGTCGTTGAAGCCTCGGAAGGGCGAAATTCCGGACAAGAGGATGTACGTGATGATACCAACGGACCACATGTCCGCTGCATAGGATACTCCTTCGTTGTTCGTCACTTCGGGAGCCACGTACTCGGGCATCCCGTATGCCAAGGTCATCAGCTTGTTCTGAGAGATTCTTCTGGACAGGCCGAAGTCGCAGATCTTTAGATCGTCGCCTCCCGTATGCGAAATTAACAGATCTCCGAGCTGCAAACAGATTTTCGGCATTCGGATAGACCAAATTGTCGGTCGCGTATTTAACAGACTGACTGCAAGGGAAACAAACCGTGAGACCGAGATGAGCATAGTGGTTGTCGTGCATGTACTCCAATCCCCAGAGCAGTTGCCTGATGTAACCAGCGATCTCAGCCTCCGTGTAGTATGCTTGCTTGGTCATGGTGTCCACGAGTTCACCACCGGCAGCTCTAATATTTGGTTAAGAAACATTTCGTTGCAACCGATCACACGAAGCTACGCGAAGAAACCGATAACAACGAAGAGCGAAGCTGATAAAACGATAAAAATATTTCTAGCGAAGGATACAGTTCTATGATCAACGTGACCATCTGGTCGGTCTCGTAAGCGTCGTGCAGCCGCAACAGTTTCCTATGATTCAGGTTGTTCATGATGTCCATCTCGTTGTACATGTACGGCTTGAGATCTCCTCGGCCGTGCATAACCTTGGCCGCGTAGTTTCTTCCGGTGCACCTCTCCACGGCGTGATAAGTGACACCTTGGGTGCCACGGCCAAGTTCATCGCCAAGGTCGTAATAATCATCGTACGGTCTGTCATGGCGTGTCCTGATGTCGCTCTTCCTCTTGTACGTCCTGAAGCCGTACTCGTGCTCGTTCTCTTCCACGTGCAGCATCACGGAACAGGATATCGAGCCTGCCACGTTCCCCGCGCTAATCGAATAGAGACCCTCGTCCTTCACTATGGTGTCGCTGATGATCAGAATCGAAGTGTCCGGTTCTGCGAATTCGATCTGGAAGAATAGAACCAATTTTTTTCAATTGAAGACCCAAAAGAATCTATTACACAACGAATTAACACTTAGCCAACCGATCGGGTAGATCTACCACTTTGACCTGAGGAATGCTTTTTTCTCTATAGAACTTCTTATTTCTATAGAGTACAACATAATTATAATAACATGCGCTAATTTTTGAAGTCTTTTATTTCCCATTATTACGGTTCTTTATGTTCGGGATTTCCGAAGGTGCCTCTATCAGCCATAAAATTATTTTATTAGAACACTCAGCCGATCGATCGGGTAGATCTACCACTTTGACCTGAG